CCACAAGTTTACGTCTTAGCATTTGCCCTGGCTTATCTCCTGGCTATGCTATTTTCTGCCTCCTCCATTCCCGCATGAGGCTCTTACCATTCCTTTTTTCTTTTTCTTTTTCTTTATGAATCAATCTGAACCAGCTTTTCTGCCAGTTTGCAGTTCTCTGCAAACCTTTTAGATTGACTGATGTTCAGAGAAACATTTCAGATCCTCCTGTTATACTTAGTGCCAGCTCTCAGTTTTAAAGTCCTAGGATTGCGGGAATTTCAGCTATTGCTTTTTCTTTTTTTAAAGGTTGCTTTCTAGACCACTTGTAAAAAAAATCCTGACAGTGTCACCTGTAAGAAATAGATGGCAATTAATTTACTTTTAAATAATGTAGGCATCAAGCTATTCTCAAAAACCTACAGTTTCTAACAGTGGGAGATGATAAATCAAATTGGAAACTTATCTTTCTTTTCTTTCTTCATTGATGCTCAGCAAGTGCTTTTTTTTTCCCCCATGAATTCTGTCCCTTTGTCTTTTCACTCAGAACCCCCTACCGGAATTCTTGCTAACATTCAGTTCATTTTCTTAGCTCTGTCAGCTTATTTATATACCTGTATTTTCAATATACTTTTTTTTTTTTAAGACTATTCAAGATCCTGTAGAGATAGCACATTTGACTGAAAACATCATATTTTATGACTATTTATGTAATTTTAACATCTTTGTTTCTATTACTTAAACTAATAGTCCATCAAATAATGTACAGCCAAGTTGACAAAAATTAAATGATGTTTTGAGTCTTTCATGTGGATTTTAGACAGGATACTTTCGTTGCCCTATCTTATCCTTTTGTCTGATATAATTCCAAAGGCATTACTTCAATTTTTCTTTTTCAAACTATGTATCTACAGGTGACTGCATTCTGTGTCGCCAGCGTTGTTCAGTACTGCCCATGAGCAGTACCTTCTGTTTCCCTTTTTTCTTCTTTGCTTGTACTTAGCACTTTTAAGACATTGATCGTCATGCATAATTTGAATACTACTTACACTGTTTTGGAAAATCATAAAAATGACCAGCATTAAAAGTTCCTGAGTAGATAACCTTAAGCAAGAAGGTAAAGAAAATTCCCTAAATCTCCAAGATCAGCTGGAGCTGGAGCCTGTACTACCACCTTTAGGCTGTACTACCACCCATCGGCTTGAAGTAGAAGCAACAAAAGCAGTGGAGTGGACAAAGCCTCTGCTCTGCTGTTGCAGCACAGCCTGCCGCAGTAACCTAGCTCCTACAAGGTTGTGAATCCCAACGGTTGAAGACTCCTCATTCCTGATGGATTTAGCTGCAGTGGCTAGAGAGATTACTAACCCCCATTATGGTCCTCCTTGACTATAGCTAAATCTGGCAGGCATTTTGGCTTTTCAAGGCAGGGCTTCATGGGATTTTCTTGGTAGCTGGTCCAAGACTAGGATTTTTTTTCTACGAAAACTGAGGGAGTTTACATGTGTCATCACTTAGAAATCTTTTTTTTTTTTTTTTTTTCTTCTGTAAGGGAACCTTAAAATATTTACCATTTTCAAATGTAAAGTTCTCTTCATAGATGTAGATCTAAGCTATCTTGCTCTTCTTTCTCATTCTGGAAGGTTTCACTCAGGATCACTCTCTACAGCTCAAGATCTTAGTATTTGGAAACAGTTCCTGTGCAAATTAAACTTGCTACTGATTTCTTAGTATTGCAGGTAAAACTACTTAACCCTGAAGGTTATCGTCAGCAGAAGCAATGAACTGCTACGGGTTTTGATAATGTCAATGTAATCCAGTGCATCTTTAAATCTTTAAACAAGTTATTGTATTATTTGGTCAGATAAATCATCAAATGTGTTTCTTTTCATGTCAGTAATGTGCATCCTTCTATAATTTCTTTAGGCTTCATAGCACCTGCAGTAGCATTGCTCAAGAGTGGAACAAAATGTGTAGGTCCAAAAATAATTAAATACAAATATCAATCTTTATATGTCTACTTCAGGCATAGTTTATCATATAACTAAATATTTAGGTAAGACAGACCACATTCATTTTTGTCCAGAAGCTATGTGGAAAAATGTGGACCTCTAACATTCAGTCCATCCTGTGTATCTTGTGAATGAAGCTTTTGTTATATATATATATATACATACACCTTACAGTAAACAGGTATCTTTTAGTAAGCCGTGGCATTAGTTTCAATTAGACACTTGCCTAAAATGTACCTAACTATAAGAATATAAAAACTTTCAGCATTATCTCTGTTAGGATAACTTTAAAATTTTTGCTTCATGTCATAGAAGAAAAGTAAGATTTGTGTGTAGACTCTTTTGTTATTAAACATTAGCTCGTTTCATACACTCGATAACCAACCTTTAGCAGCTCAGCTCATTAAACATAATGTCTTGCTTTACATCAGTTCTATCTGAAGAGCTCTTCATGTTAAAAACAGCTAATGTAGAGCTATTGTTACTGGCTTCGTATCTTGGAACCCAAGCAAGAGGAGAAAGATGAACACTGTACAGAGAAAGACGCAAGTACAGCTTTCTGGGTATATGAATATCAGTATCAGTGGATTTTGAGATGTAAATTTTATTTGCAGGCTGGCAAAACCAGTAAATATTGAGCCTAATTCATAATATAGTTATTAGTGGTTTTACACTAATACAAGGTAACAACAGCAGACAGAACAAAGGAATATTCTATGAGTCTTTACTGAGTGTGAACACTTGGGACTTTTTTTATGCTGTTCCTGCTTGGTTCATGCTATTCCATGAACAAGGAGAACAAGAAGACAGCCAAGGTAGTACAAATTCAACAACAGAGTGCATGTGTGGATCTTGTCAATATTATGAGAATGCCTTAATTTTATGACTTCTATAGACTATATAGTTCACAGATGAACTGTGACCTTGTTATTCTGTATCATGTTTAAAAAAAGCCACAATTTATTTATTGTCTGTACTTTTATAGCAGTTCCTTAATACATTTTCCATGTACTGTCCATGATTTTCAGTAATAAAAATATTTTGGAGCATTTCCAACATAGAACTATACTAGTTATAGGAACTGTGTGACTTTTGTTTGTGGTGTGCTTTGAAGATAAAACTTACATTTTCCATACAACTGTTTAACATAAATGCCCACTTCAGAATATGTGAATTTTTTCTCTTATTAATATGAACAATATTGCATGACAAATACACAGCTATATAAGCTTCCTGAGATCTTCTTTTTAAGTATTTTAAAGCATATCACCTGTTTAAAAATAACTGCATTTTAGCTCCATTCAGCAGAGAGCAAAGTTGTTATCTGAGCAGTTGATTCATTTAATTAGAAAGCTGTTCTAAAGTTACTTTAAAACTTTTTGTAACATCAGTATTAGCGTGCTTAGGAGTATTTGGCTGTAGCCTTAAGTTGCTACACTAAGTTATAGGTGTGTCATTTCATTAGATTTCACTGAGGAGTGATAAGCCTTCAAGGATTATTTATGCATAAACTGAAAGATACCACACCTTTTGGAAATGCAACTGTTGCTGCAGTGGAACATCAAATTAGCAAAATATTTATGACAGCAAGCAGTATGGGAGGCAGCAGGGAGCCCTTCTTCAAAGTCAAATGGCTGTTCCTTTCTGCACATTTATATGTAATTATTTTTCTAGACTCTTTATGATAATATTCAGGTAAGTTTTACATTAGAACCAGTTTTGACTTCACAATCTTTTTGTTTTAATTTTTACTAAAAGTTGCTGCAGATACTGTTTAGAACCTGGTCCCTGTTGCTGTTGAGAGACAAGACCATATGGTTTTCAAAGCTTTACCTATTCAGATGTAATCCTTGCTCTACAACTGCATACCTTTCTCTGTGCTTGCAACACAAAATCAGCAGACATGATGTTGTTTCCCTAATGCATTCCTTATTCCTCCAAAATCTGAATTTTGGATATTTGTAGTGAGTTATATTGGCAGTAAAACAGAAGTAGAAAAATTGTTTTTCAGAGGAATACAACAATTTATGATTAACGCCCGCCAGATACTATATGAGGCTGTATGCAAAAAGGTTCTCAGAAACAATGGTGCAGTTCAATACCGTCAGGTGAAATTCAAGACCACAACAGGGGTTAGATAGCTATTAGTTTATTGATAATATACTCACACTGCAAGCAGCACGGGGAGCCCCAGTAACCGCATGGAGGTTTGCAAGGAAAGAGCGGTCAGTCTGGTCAGGCGCCCGATTGAGGCTCAGTCCAGGGACGTCCCTGCCTCAACTTAGATATTTTTTCTTTTTGACAGCCGGTTATATATATCTATCTATCTATCTCATGCCCCCTGGTTACCCATCAAACAATACAATGCTGCAATAATTAGAAACTCAGGTTACTGTGACCTGATGATCATCATCGGGGGCAGGATGTTTGCTTTGTGAACTGGGACTAGATCACGTGCATCGAGCCATGTCCTTGACTCCTCGACGATCTTCCAAGTCCTCCCCTTGCAACTTGTACGTCCCAACGTGGTGCATTTCTCTGTACAAACTGCAGGGACCAGGTTCCAAAACTTGGAGTAGATGATTTTATGCATAGTTTTTCTTTCACCTCAATCAGTACATTGGGGGGGTTTTTTTAAAAAAAAAAAAAAAATCCTTGTGGTATAGCTATTTACACTTGCAGGAGCACAGATATTTATGTGTTAAAAGATTTTTATATAAAAGTGTGTTTCCTATTATTTCCCTATTTAAAAAAAAAAAATCTAATGCAGAAGTATTCTTAAGTTCCTTCCCCAATATAATCTGAAAATTTATACTGTGTTTTAGGAAGACTTTTGAAATAATGTACACAAACAAAGATTACCTGAAAATACTGCCTGAAGGAAGACAATGAGAATGGCAATATGCCATCAATAATGCTCAGAAATGCACCTATTTTGAGGTTAGCATTTCTTTTTTTCCACTTGGCTGTCTCTATTCTGGTTGATTCATATCAATCCCAAAGCAAAAATCATCAATAAGGTGCTTCATTAAGACATGGAAAATAGTCTTCAGTCTTGAAGAGGACTGGAGGTTCATAGAGGGTCTGCTGTTGTCGTGAGGAAGACGATTTCTGCAAATTAGATAAGTTTATTTTTCGCCTTCTTAAAAAAAGCAAGTTTTAAAACAAAGCCTACAGAGCTAAAATGCAAAACAAGAAAAGTTTTAAGGCATATCTCCTTAGGTGAATTTTTAATCATAGCTCAGATGAGTCTGGCATATTCTGAATGTTAGTGAAGAAAAGCAGCCTTTGACTTTTGCCATTCTACCACCTGAACACCCTCAGTCCTGGAAAGCGTATGATATGCCAGCTTTGCAGGAGCCAGACGCGTAATCTTTTCCAGCTGATGGTATAGTCATTGTAACCTTCATCCTTCCAAAGCCATATACCTTTACCTTTCCTGCTCCAGCCTTTGAGTTCTCCTCAGCTGCTTCCTTTGAGTTAACCCTAGCCTGTGTTCTCATTTACTCAGTTAAAAAAGTCTTCATATGGAAAACACCTCGCAAATGTTTCTTTCAAGAAGGTTGCTGCTCCTGCTGAGCTTCTTCGTCAAGTATATGTTAGAATATACATAATATGACATACCATTGAAAATAATATGGCGGACTGGAAAAGAGCTGTTGCACTGTTTTTAAGGAAAAGCGTACATGTTTCTTTTAAATATCAACGGTACATTGTTTTGCTACACCAAATAGAATCATTTAAAGCGACAACATCAAGGACCATTACCGACTATCATGTCAGCCTTCCTGCATGTAAATAATTCTGCACTGCAACACAGACCCAGTATATGTTTTCAACATACGGTCTTAAATGGAAGGCTTGAAATCAAGACTTCATTCATTAAAAATTCTTTTGGACTCATGAAAAGATTTTGATTAACTATTTTGCAGACCTCTCAGTCAGTTTGTCTGCAGACTTTTCAGGTACTTTTTTGCCTGTCTGGGATGAGGAAATCAGCGTCTTCACCAATAATAAAGTTAAAAGCATACCAAGTATCATTAGTATACTTGTGGAATGCTTTTACAGTACTAAAACAAGGATATAATTAAGCATACCTACAAAACAGCTACGTGGAATTTTTCCAATATTCAGTTGAGCTGTATATTTGTACTCCGTATGAAATAAGTACATATTCTCCTGTTAAATACAAAATTGCTGATTTACAACATTTAAATTGTATTTGTCTTTAATTTTACGATACCATTAATTCCTCTGAAGTAAGTTTGTTTTGCCATTCAAGTTATAATGAAATAAAAAAAATATAAACAAAGATCGGATCTATAAATAGCGGATATTATCAATGTTCTCTATATCAGAAATTTTGCCAAATGTGAAAACAATCTTTGAAATCAAAGTTCTGTTTTTAAAAATTATTTCCTATCCTGTACTGCCCTATGAAAAAACACCTTGCAAGCAAGGGAAACTAAGGTGACAGGTATTCTGCAACTCATGACACTGATTTAAGAGGCACTATATTTGTATATGTGCAAGAAGGGGCTAATTTCAATCCAGTGAGGAAATTCATAGGCAGGGACAGTACCCACAGTTGCCTAAGTACACATTTATGAATAGTTATTTTTGCAGCTGCTTAGCAGACATTTTTACCTTTTGAGAGAGTCTACATCCTTAGTGATATTAGAAGTCTTACAGTACTGTACTTTACACTGCCTGGTATTCACAAGGGAAGAACTTGGGGCAAAATCTGAAAGTGAGATTACAAATACAGAGCTTAAGAAATACAAAATATATCCTTTGTGTAAAGAAACAGATACATTTAAATGGGAAGAGAGTGAGGGGGCTTGACTAAAATTGTAGCAGGCAAACATGAACTACAGCTACAGTGAAAATCATGACGTGGGTATAGCCGCCTTTTCCAAAGGATTGATTTACTGAGTGAACTAGTTAAATGTTAGGCATAAGAAGAAATCTCTATAGGCATTTTCATTCAGACATGCTTGTGTTTACTAGTGCAAATAGATATTACTATGCAATACTCAGTACCGCAATACTCAGTACCGCTGTGGAACAGTGACCTGCCTTTCAGTTAATCAATTAATGCCGGTAAGTTCCGAGTGTTGATTTTATTGCTATCCATACTCAAACCAAGAAACCACTGGACATGCGAGGTTCAAATTCCTGACACTTTTACAGACTTTCCACCTTACTAAATGTGGAAAAACTGCTAAGCTGACGAAGTGTTCCCATGCAACACTAAAAAAAGCACTTTCTTAGAACTTTCAAACTTTTCAATTGAAGATCGTAATTTCATCGTTGACAACTGTTTTTAGCAACGAAATAGAAAATACTGTCAAATATTCTTCAAGGCAACTGCTGCAGTTGTTTGTTTTTGTAATTGGCCCATAATAGCAGCTTTGTGTTGTTTTTTTCAAAGAGAAAAATGACATCACTCTAAACTTACACACCAAAGAAAATGAAGGAATGAGAAGTTAACTAACTTAAATACTGCACAGAAAATAGCAGTGAAGAACAGGTTTCCTGAACTAAGAAAGCTTGCAATATGTAGGAACACAAATACCTCAAACAGCCACAACCATCTTCCTCTCCCCCTCTTCAAACCTACTTTATTTCAGCATTCTCACCAGTATTATGACACAGAAACCTGAGATAGTACAGGATGAATATAGGAAAAGATAAAGAAAAGAATCTGGGAGCTTACAAGATGCAAGGAGGAGTACTTATAAATGGTGTATTGGCAGGTGATACCAAGAAGCATCAGGTGTTCAGAAATTTTTTTTTTTTTTTTTAAACCAGCAGGTTATTTTAAAACTAGGGTATAGTGCCAGTTTAAGGTTAGGTGAGGCATCTCTTTGAAACATACCAGAGAGACCACTTCAAGTCTTCTGTAGAGAAACAGTCCACATGTAGTAACAAGGAAAGACAGCAAAAACCGTATCCTTAGAAAGTTTAACAAGGTGCTTACATGATTACTGAACTGTGTGGATTGAGTATAAATAGAACCTTTATTTTAGAAATACTGTGCAGCATAGCTTTCATTTCCTTTTTTGGTAACATTTCTGGAGTGATATTATTAATGCAGTATGATCCTTTATCATTGTTGTCTGTACAGGCTCTTCCTACTTGCTTTGCATACCATCAGAGATCAGGGGTGCTTTAATATAAAGGCTTGTGCATTATGTGCTTGTTTGTGCCCTTCACATTCCCTTCTTCATGTATTCAGCCTTATTTTGGAAAGTTAGCAAATCCTTGTAAGAATCTGTGTTTTTTAAGTTTGGGGGTTTTTTGTTACTAAGTCTGAGAACTTTGCAGAAATCCTAATACAGTATATAAAAGTTTTACATTTAAATTCAGATATATGTGCAATAAACTTACTATTATTTTAATCATCCACTCTGGTAAGCAGAGCAACTAAGCTGCTCACATGGTAACAAAAGCTTACTTACATTAAGGAAAGATGGTATGCTGATTGTGTGCAAAATTTTCTTGAATGTGCTTGGAAAAGCTCCAAGGTCTGTTTCTGCCTTTATGACCCGTTCTTCCAGTCCAGCTATGCTATTTCCAATCATCTTCACAAAAGCCTAGTGTAAAAAAAACCAAAAGAAATCCAACTTTTTCACTAACAAATTAAAACAGGATTACGCATTGCACAACAGTGGTGAAAGTTCCACTACTTAAATGAGAACGAGTCAAAAACTCCATGCTCTATTTCCCTTCCACCTACAAGTCCATTTTATTGCTAAAAATTACTTGAGACACTTAAAAGGCTGCAAAATCAGGTTAAATCTAATAAAACAATCAGTCTTCCTTTTCCTACTTGCCTTTCAAATAACTAATTTAGACTTCTTAGAATTTAGACTTCTATCTGCGTTTCTATTAAAAGTGGGACCAAGGATCTGAATCACAGTTTTGAACAGACCTCTCATCCTACTACTCTCCGAATAGCTCCCAAGACAATAACTTTGAAAGATACTATTTAAAAAAAAAAAGGAAGAAAAAGTGGTACTATTGCTTTCTGAAAGATGTCTGCCTTGCTTCAAGCAGTAAATAAAAAAAATCTTTTCTTCTAAAAAAAGGCATTTTGTTTTAGAATACCCACAGTCTCCAGAAATTCTTAATAAATTGTGTTCTCTTTATTAACCCTGAAGTATTTAACCCAGATTGAACATGGAAAGCGAAACAGATCTGAGCCCACTCCACATGCATGCATGCACACACACACAATTACAGCTTATCATTGATCCTCCCCCCCCGTTAAGAAATGGAATACATCTAGAAGATATCAAATACATACCTCTAGTTTGTCAATCTTCCTGTATATCTGTCTCATTTCTGTAGCTTTTGTGTAAATTTGAGGTATACTTTCATTGACAACCTGAGAGGAATCACTTCGAATCTAAAGATGATTCAAAGAAATAATACAAAAATCAATGAAAAAACCAAAATGTTTAGTAGATTTCATTCTGGAAACTAGAACTGTGCTCCAATTAACAGATTAAAACTCATAGTTTAAAAATATCAGATTAGTATTAGTACAAAAATACTAGATTAAAACTAATAAGCTAGCTTCTTTGTATAGTTTAGTAAGTGCCTTTGAAGAAAAATTATTTTGCATAGGCAAACATTTACCTTTATAATTATATTAAAAATAGGCTGCTACAACTTTATCAGAACTAAGAGATGGAACATTTCCCAAGACATACTAAAGAATTAAATATATTAAACTAAAATTTTGATTTAAATTTTACTACCTGTATGTTTTCTCAACTTTGCTAAAAAAGTCAGGCCACAAAATCTTGTTTTATTGGTATTTAAAAAAAAAAAAAGTAAAGTTCCCCTTTGCAGGAGAACCACATGTGCTATGCTTTAAAAGACAGCCTGGATAGCAGTGTCAGCTTATAGGAACTTCCCATTTGGTCCCCCCGCCTCCCCCCATGCAAAAGTGAAAACAAAGCTGCCTTTCTGATGAAAGAGAGTCCCCTAAAGACAAATCTAGCTTTGGAGGTTTGGCAACTTCGATTAGATACTTTGATTACAAAAACCACAGAGGATGTCTTCACGTATTTTAAAGGAGAAGCAGAATATCATATTGTTCTTTTAAACATCTGTCACTGCGCCATTCAAAATGGGTTTCTATGTATGTACATGGGCAAATATACAATTACGTAAAAATGCAGTTATATAGCTATATGGGCACATTTTGCTCTGACATGAAAGTCTGGTAGTTTTCATCCACGAGTTATCTAATTATCAAAATGAGTTATCTAACTATCGAATGTGTTTTCATACTGCAACCTGCCTAGACCAAAGGCTGCTTCCTATCTCTGTCTCATTTAAAAACACAAGCACACGCTAAACTGTATTCTGACTTCAAAAGCACAACTATACGCAAGTTATACATACCATGTCCAGCATTCCCACAAACTCATCCACTCTGGTCAGCAAGTCTTCCAGACTCTTGTCTAAGCTGTCTATCTGCAAAAGAGAAATACTTGAAAGGTTCTTGAAGAGACAGAAAAACCCGCCTCCCAAAGCAACCCTCTGAGTACAGACACCAGCCCGACTAAAACCAGCCCAACAGAAATCCCACAGCCTCGCCACCTCTTGGCCGCACCGCTGACCAGACACACGGGTACATCTTACCCCGCAGACAGACGCACGGAGGCCGCGTAACCGGCGCAGCGTCCTGAGCCGCCCCGCTCTCCAACGCG